TGCACAGGTGCTATAAGGTAACTCCACACGGACAAGTCCCCCTCATATGCCCACTTCGCCCTGAGCTGCTGAAATAGAACTATGTACATTCCTTGGTCTGTCTTCTCTTTCCTCAGAGCATAGCCAACTTGATAGAAAGGAGGCAATTTGAAACCAAAGAGAATAAGTAAGTAACATTTTCAGTTGAGTTATTTACAATTTTCAAAGTCAAGGGCCTAAGGGGGAAATTTCCTCTAGAAATAGGAACTAATAGATGCTGGGCCTGGCAGGGTGGCTCATGCCTATAATCCCAGCACTTTGGGAGGCCGAGGCAGGTGGATCACTTGAGGTCAGGAGTTAGAGACCAACCTGGCCAACATGGTGAAACCCTGTCTTCACTAAAAATACAAAAATTAGCTGGGCGTGGTGGCGGGCACCTATAGTCCCAGCTACTTGGGAGGCTAAGGCAGGAGAATCACTTAAACCCAGTGAGTGGAGCTTGCAGTGAGCCAAGATCATGCCACTGCACTCCAGCCTGGGCAACAGAGTGACACTCCATCTCAAAAAAAAATATTTTTTTGAGAAATAGGAACCAATAGAGATAGCAACCAGTCTACTTGCATTGAATCATTGGCTCAGATTAGTATAAATCATGCATTAGTCTACACTTTTCTAACATGCTCCCAGTGAAGTAATTTTTCAGATTAAATTTATGAGAAACGTACAAATGCACCAAACTTTAAGTGCAAATGAGAGGCAGTAAGAATTTCAGGATTAAAGTTCTATTTCCCAGTAAGTTTGTAGAAAATGTCCTTAGAAGGTAACATTATCTACTTTGACCAGGAAAATGGTAAAAGGGTGGTGGGCTGTGCCTCAGACATACGTAGTAAGAGAATCTCCCAGGTTAGGGAACATGTTTCAGAGTTGTGTTTGTTTGACAGGCGTCTACTAGAAAAATCTCAGAGGGTAGAAGCCATCATTGCATCTATGCAGGCTACAGGTGCAGAGGAAGCACAGTTACAAGAAATAGAGGAGATGATCACAGCTCCTGAACGTCAGCAGCTAGAGACCCTGAAACGTAATGTCAACAAGTAAGCATCACAAACTTCAGACCTACATTTCAAAATACTATCCAGAAAATCCATTTTGACATCTGTAACCCTCCAACTTAGCATGAGCAAACCTAAACTCACCGTCTTCTCCAGCTAACTGAACAGAATTTAATCCACCTATTTTTGTAAACTAGCAGTTCTGAAGATGTTCTCAGCTTCTTCTCCATCACCATATACACTCTCTTATTCATCAAGTACTGGTAAATTTTTTTTAAGAGGGGATTATGGCTGTGTTGCCCAGACTGGCCTTGAACGCCTAGGTTCAAACAATCTTCCTGCTCAGCCTCCCAAGTAGCTGGGACTACAGGCAAGTGCCACTGCACTGACTTACTTTTACTTCAGTAATGCGTCTCAAATCTGGCCTTTCTAAGTATTTTTTTGGATGCTAGGTTAGTGGTTGCTTATTTCATTTTTGGATTGTTCATTGCTAGTGTTATACAAAAACAACTAACTTTTGTGTTGTGATTTTGTATCCCACAACAATTAAGACTACCCTCCCCCGGCCAGGCGCGGTGGCTCAAGCCTGTAATCCCAGCACTTTGGGAGGCCGAGATGGGCGGATCACAAGGTCAGGAGATCGAGGCCATCCCGGCTAACCCGGTGAAACCCCGTCTCTACTAAAAAAAAATATACAAAAAACTAGCCAGGCGATGTAGCGGGCACCTGTAGTCCCAGCTACTCGGGAGGCTGAGGCAGGAGAATGGCGTAAACCCGGGAGGCGGAGCTTGCAGTGAGCTGAGATCCGGCCACTGCACTGCAGCCTGGGCGACAGAGCGAGACGCCGTCTCAAAAAAAAAAAAAAAAAAAAAAAGACTACCCTCCCCCAGGACAGAGGCTCTGTATTTTGCATTCTTAGCAGTTTCCATGGTGTCTGGCACATAAAAGATGCTTGGTAAATGGCAGAATGATCTACTGGTTCTCCTGCCTTCTTGCCATCCACTCTCAGGGGTAACCAAGCAGTTATCCATGGCCACACCACCCTAGCCTCTAATCTTAAATATGCTAATGAACATTCAGTCTAGGCAAATAAATGTTTTTACTTTTTCACTCAGGTTGGATGCCAGTGAGATCCAGGTGGACGAAACCATCTTCCTGCTGGAGTCTTACATTGAGTGCACCATGAAGAGACAGTGATCCAGAAGCATCTTCCTCAAAAGATCTGGGGGGAGGGGATGGAAAGCAAAATAAAGGAAGTACCTGGATGCATTATTTGCAGTGGGATAAGTTGCAGATTCTTCAACTAAACCCCCCTGTCTATCCCCTGCAGCCCAGGATACACCTGAAAGAATCTGGCATATTTAGATCCATTGCTATAATCTCCCCTCATCAAATCTTGGCACTGGGAAGAACCTTAAATCAACAGGATTAATCATCTATCAGATGTATCTGTATCCATGAAGAAGTTACCCACACCTATGGTTACCTACATCCCTGGCAGTAGAAAACTTCTTCCTAAGAAGTTAATTTTATTTTCAAATGTCTATGCCTGTTCTTTATTTTGTTGAGATAGATAGATAGATAAGATAAGATAGATAAGACAGAAAATTTGTTGTTGAGACAGGATCTCACTCTGTCACCCAGGCTGGGGTATAATAGTGCAATCACAGCTCCCTGCAACCTTGACCTCCTGAGCTCAAGCGTCCTTGCACGTCAGCCTCTGGAGCAGCTGGGACTACAGGCATGCACCACACATACCTGGCTAATGTTTTCTTTTTTTTTTTTTTTTGTAGAGACGGAGCCTCCCTGTGTTGCCCAGGCTGATGAACTAATTTCTAACACACACATAGTGTAGGGAATGTGAAAGGCTATCACAGAGTAGAAGAAAAAGTTATTTTGAGGGTTAGCAGGTAGATTGTCCCAAGCAGTCACACTAGAATCTGGACTGAAGCCACATTTGCCAGCTCCAAGCTTCTAACACATCTGAAACTATGTAGAACAGCTAGCCCAATGCCTGGCATATGATAAGCATACAGTAAATGAGTACCTTCCTCTTCTCCATGGTTCCTTAAAACTGGCAACGCTAAATTGTCTCTCTCAGTATCATGGATATAATTTGTCCCAGCAGCTTTAATTCATTTAAAGCAGTTAAATGTTGTTTTATAATATCTTCAGTTTGGTCTCACCAATGTGTTTTCTAATTCTTTAAACACTTGAGTGCCAAACAATTGCCAGCCACCATACTAAACACAACATACAAAGATAAGTAAGACACCATCTCTGCCTTCAGACCAGTCACCATCATTTACTAAGCACCTGTTTTGTGCTAAGTACTGGGGTAAGCCTTGGAGTTATAAACATTAATAAATTTTGAGCATACAGTCTAGTAGGAGGAGACAAATAAGTACATAAGTACAAGTATTGGAGGTGCTACAGTAGAAGAGTAACTCCGTACGGAGAGGCCAGAAAGGGAAAAGGGTCAGGCAGGAAAGGGAACACAGAGAAAGTGACAATGTATAGTTTGAAAGATGAGGATGTTTTATTTGCAAACTATCTTAACAAGGGATTAATAACCAGAATACACAAGGAGCTCAAGCAATAGCAAAAAGAACAAATAATCCAACTTTAAAATAGCCAAAAGATCTGAATAGGTAGTTTTCAAAAGAAGATATACAAATGGCCAACAGATATATCAAAAAATGTTCAACATCACTAATCAGAGAAATGGAAATCAAAATCACACAGATATCATCTCACCCCAATTAGTTACTTTTACCAAAAAGAAAGAATGAATGCTAGTGAGGATGTGGAAAAAGGAAAGCCCTGCCTGGTACACTATTGGGAATGTAAATTGGTACAGCCACCATGGAAGACTACAGAGGTTCCTCAAAAAACTAAAAATAGATCTGTATGCTCCAGCAGTTCCACTACTGGGTATATATCTCTCTCTCTCCAAAAGGAAAGAAATCAATATATCAAAAAGATACCTGCACTCCCATGTTTATTGCAGCACTATTCACGATAGCCAAAACATGGAATCAACCTAAGTGCCCATCAATAGATGAAAGGCTAAAGAAAATGTATATATTATTCAGCCGGAAGAATGAATGAAATCCTGTCATTAGCAGCAACATGGATGGAATTAGAGGTCACTATGTTAAGTAAAATAAACCAAGCACAGAAACAAATATTGCATGTTCTCTCTCACATGGGAGCTAAAAAAGTGGATCTCAAGAAAATAGAGAATAGATTGGTATTACCAGAAGCTAGGAAGGATGGGGAGGATGAAGAGAGGTTGATTAGTGGGCACAGATTAATACAGTTTGAAGAAATAAGACCTAGTGTTAGATAGATCAGCAGGGTAGCATAGTTATTTACTGTACATTTCAAAACAGCTAAAAGAATAATTTTGATGGTGGCTCAATCCTATAATCCCAACACACTGGGAGGATCAGTTGAAGCTAGCAGTTCAAGAACAGCCTGGGCAGCATAGTGAGATTTCATCTTTACAAAAAATTTAAAAATTAGCCAGGTGTGGTAGTGCGCACCTGTAATCCCAGCTACTCAGGAGGCTGAGGCAGGAGAATCGCTTGAACCAGGGAGGTGGAGGTTGCAGTGAGCCGAGATCGCGCCACTGCACTCCAGCCTGGGTGACAGAGCAAGACTCCGTCTCAAAAAAAGAAAAAAAGCCAGGCGTTGTGGTGGGCGCCCTGTAATCCCAGCTACTTGGGAAGCTAAAGCACGAGAATGGTTTCAACCTGGGAGATGGAGGTTGCAGTGAGCTGGGATCACGCCAGTGCACTCCAGTCTGGGTGGTGGTGCGAGACTCTCAAAACGAAACATCACTCTGGCAGCACTGTAGAGGATGAACTGGTAGGGGCAAGACTATTTGGAGACTTGCAATAATATCTCAGGCAAAATATGAGGAAGGCTTAAACTAGGGCAATGAATGAAGGCTGGAGAGAACATGGGTTTGAGGAAGTTTAAGGAGATAGCATCTGCATACTTGGTTGCCATTTGGGTGAAGTGAAAGAAGGAGAAGTGGTCTCGAAAATGTTATGTGGCGTGTTTCGCTTGGAGATAATGAATTCAAAGTGATGCCTGCTGTAACAGGTGTGCACAGTGCTGTAGAGGGTGCTTACAGTTCAGCTTAGGGCTGGTAGGAAGTAACATGTGAGTCTTCCTGAAGTCAGTCGGTCTGGGGGTCATTGTCCTAAACAGAGAAGATAGGAAGGAAATAGGAGCTGAGCATTTAGAGGTATTCTTTGTGGTTTAATATTATACCCATGGGTCATCCTCAAAAGATGTGCCCGGATTTCCCGGGGACTTTCGGAAACCCAGCTACCTTCCGACCCCGCGGAACGCTCCAAGAGGAAGCGTCGCTAGGCCACCAGAGGGCGCCAGGCGGGCCGCAGCGACCCCAGAGTCGCGTTATGGCCGCGGCGCGGGTACAGCTGCTCCTGTCCGGGCGTCCGGAGTCGGTGAGCTTCGCACGGAGTGTGTGTGGCCTCCTGGGAGCCGGGCCAGGGCTCGGGCCGTGGCCCATTCACTGCAGCTTGAAGCGAGGACGGCTTGTCCTCTCCAGCAGGCCCTTCCCAGGCGCCTCCGCTAGGCTTCCGCTCCAGGTCAGCAGAAAGGGGCCTCAGAGCGGGGGTGGGGGCAGTGAAGGGCCGAAGACGGGGACTGAAATCGGGTGGGAACTGGCGACGAGGACCCCGCCTCCAACGCGCGGGGTAGCCCCATTTTTGAAAGTCACGCCCACCCAGTGCCGCCCCACTTCTGAAGCCTTAACCCAGCTGGCTTCCTTCTGCCAGCGACCCCCTTTCTGCCCTTTTGCGGCCCTGGACGAGCGGCCCAGGGTTCCTGGGGCTGAGCTGCCCACAGATCGAGGTGTGGACCTGGGTGTGGCCGTCATTCTGCAGTCCAGCGACAAGACTGTCTTGCTGACCAGAAGGGCACGCACCCTCAGCGTTTCCCCCAACCTCTGGGTACCCCCGGGTGAGTATTCTGGGGACAAGGCCCCACGTACAGAAAATAAATTTGCCCTTTCCCCGCAACAATGTTTTCCCCAGTCTTAAAAGGATAAAGTGGGCCCCAAAATGTGGCATCTTCATAGCCACAAGTGACTGCAACTCCCTGTGTCCACTGGGGGGGAGAGAAATGTCAACAGTGAGTGGGCGGTCCCTGGTCAAGACCACCACCATTCACCTATTGGCCCCGCTGTTGTTGCAGGTGGGCACGTGGAACTTCAGGAGGAGGTAACCAGTCAGCTGATCCAACCTGAGCCAAGAGACCCATGCCTAGGACCACCTTGGGTGTGGGCTGAGGGAGGGGCAAGCAGGAGGACTTGGAGGAATCAGGCACTGGCCAATCTGATGTGTCCTCTCTGACTCCCAGCTGCTGGACGGAGGGCTTCGAGAACTTTGGGAAGAGTGTGGACTACACCTGCCCCAGGGCCAGTTCTCTTGGGTCCCTCTGGGTTTATGGGAGGTGAGACAAGGAGCTGGGAGAAGCCCCTTCATATTTAACCAACAGACCTCAACAACTACCCACCAAAGTCCATAGATCAGCCCCTACCTGCCTTGGCTACAAGGGAAACAATAGCACATAAGTGGGCTGGAGTCCCCAAATCCATAACCCTCACCCATGTCCCTGCTGTGTCATCTATACCATCCATGCCCTCAGCTTTTGGCCACCATTTTGTTTCACCCTAAAGCTGTATTAACAAAGTCTCAAAAAGTGACAGAAAGGGCCGGGTGTGGTGGCTCATGCCTATAATCCCAGCACTTTGGGAGGCCGAGGTGGGCGGATCACGTGAGGTCAGAAGTTCGAGACCAGCCTGGACAACATGGCAAAACCGCGTCTCTACTAAAAATACAAAAATTAGCTGGGCGTGGTGGCAGTCACCTGTAATCCCAGCTACTCTGGAGGCTGAGGCTGGAGAATCGCTTGAACCCAAGAGGCAGAGGTTGCAGTGAGCCAAGATCGCGCCACTGCAGGCCAGCCTGGGTGACAAGAGCGAAACTCCATCTGAAAAAAAAAAAAAGAAAAAACATGACAAAGTTCTCACTTTTGCTGTTTTCTTTTCCTAGTCTGCCTACCCTCCTAAGCTGAGCTGGGGTTTACCCAAGTACCATCACATTGTTCTGTATCTACTCGTGATCTCCCAGGAATCACAGCAGCAGCTGCAGGTAGGGCTGGCAGTGAGGGAAGGAAACAGGGCTCAGGGGAGCCCAAGCAACCTGGTTCTGCCTGTGATTGGAAGCTGGGCGGCAGGGGTGGGGGGAAGGGGGCGGGGGTCAGAGATAACCAAGAATGTGCAATACCCTTTCCCGTTGCGCCTGCCTTTCTCCTTGAAAAGTGCAGGTAGGTTTTGATCACGAACAGGTATCCCAGGGAGAGGCAATGACTGAGGGGTCACCATGTCTGACCCCAGGCCCGGATCCAACCAAACCCAAGTGAGGTGAGCGCCCTTATGTGGCTGACACCAGATGTAGCTGCTGCAGTGGCTGCCACAGAGGATGGGACAGAGACACCCAGACTTCTCCCCCAGGACCTACCACCCTCTGTCCTGTAAGTAAGAGCTTCTCCCTCAGCCTCTAATACACCAGCATATTCATGTTGAGAAGTACAGCGTCTATCCTCTCCTCAGGATGGAATTTGGTGGTGTGGGGAGATTTAAAGAGAGTGGGTCAGGTGATAATTAAGAAGATCCATGAGATCTAAGACACTGACCATCAAACCCCAAGGATTCGTGCTCTAACTGGCTAGCATTGAAGGTCTAAGTGTCAGTTCTAACAGAGGGGCAAGTCATTTAACCCTCCTTGAACCTGTTTCCTTTCTGCAAATGAGATCAACACCCACCACCTCCTGTGGTAGTTGGGAGGATTCGGGGACCTCACATACATGTAAGTTCTTTGTAAGCTACAAGGCACAGCCCCAACAGGAGTTGTCACTATGCAGTGCACTGGAACTAGAAGAGGATGGAAGAGCCCGACCTCTGGTCCTGCCTATGTCCACCCTGCTGCGGATGATCCCAACCATGGCAGAGGGCAAAGAGAGAGTCAGCACTGGAACCAAGTTTGCCCTCAGGCTCTGGCTGCAACATCTGGGCAGGGAAAAGTGAAAAGGGACTGGAGAGCTCCACAGCACTGGGCTGGAATGGTCTGGTTTTTACAGACATGGGGGAAAGGAAGGAAGGACAACCTCTCTAGGAATTCCTCCATGGAACACCCCCACCGTGTAAAAGTGCAGCTCACCTGGACCCAGGGCCAGCAAAGGAAGAATGGAACATGGACCCTCTTCCCCCAAACCAGGGGTCTGGAAAGTGAAGTGTAAAATCCCCTCCCTAGCCCATCTCCGTGACACTCACAGAACATTCACAACCTTTATTATGGGTGAGAGCTTCACTACAACTTTAGGAATAAAAAGTAAAATTACAACACAGGTCCCAGGCCTTGGACGAGCCTGAAAAAGAGGATTGGGAAGGAGGGCACAGGGTCCTCCCACCTCCCTGGAAAGGTGCAGAATGAGCCAGGCCTAACCACAGGGCCATGAGCCTCTAGAAGCTTAGGGCGGAATAAGAAACACTGTGAACTTAAATATATAAATAGAGAGAGACCCAAGCAATAGGCCGGGCCTGACTCCCAAACCACTGGGGGATCATGGCTAAGGCCTTACATCCTCCTCTGTCATACTGGAGTAGGAGGCAGGGGAAGTCATCTTTGGAGTATTTTGGTTTTTCTTATTTATGTACAAAAAAATCCACATCCACAATCCAAAATAAAGTTCTCTGTCCATCTCTGAAACTGCCTGTCTCAGTTTTTCCACCTGTCTGTGTGGCCAAAGGGAAGGGAATGGAATGGACATGAAGAGACAATGGATGTGAAGAAGAAATAGAGCCATGGGTTTGGGGGATAAGAAGAGAGAGCATTTGGGGTTCAAGAGAGGTGCCCCTTTCCCAAGAGGCTCTAGACACAGTTGAGGCTGAGGGTTCAGCCCTTCTCCCAGCTCACATCCCATCCCATTTACCTCCCACTGCCTAGGTTAACATACCCAAAGGAATGTGCCACCATCTAAAGAACATTTCCAAAAACAAACCCCATTGTCCTTAAAAAGAGGTTAAATATTAACCCTTTGGGTGCTGGCCTTGTCGGGCAGAGATGAGGCCAAAAGTAGGCATCTGTGAAGGTCTGTCTGGCCCGTGGCCAGAGCCAGCAGAGGGATCAGAGTAGCTGGGGTTGGGACTCCACAGCATACTTGCTCAGTGTTGGGGGACAGTGAAGTTTCCATACTCCAAGGAACTCAGTCCAGGGAAATGATGTCTGACCGACAGCCAGTCAAAGAAGGACCTGAGGGTAGGGGTCCTCCATGCCCCTCCCTCAAGGCTCCCCCAGGGGCCACAATGCTGCTGACACGGCCAGGAGGGGGCGCTGGAGTGGCACTGCGGTGGGAGCTCCCCAACGTGGGGGCCAGTGGGCCCAGAAAGTGAGAAGGGGTCCCTCGGTACTGGAAGAAGTGGCCAAGGGCATCCTGCTCATCTAGTGAGGTGATGACGGAGGGGCCATAGTGCTAGGAATAATCAAGGACATAGTTTAAGATCTCATCCTGACTTCCCCACCTCCCAGTCACTCATCTCAGAAATGCCGTATGGGGGCAATCAACCCCTGTGGATCCCAAGGTATTCTCTGAGAAAAGGGAGAGCCTCTCCCTCTTTCCCCTACTTCCCCACACCCTTCCCCTTTCCCTGCCTTGAGAGCTCCTCCAACTTGCTAGGTTCTTGGCGTTGTGGGTGTCTGAAATGTGTGGAATGTCCGGTTAGAGCAGGCATGGTGCTCTAAGTGCACACGGGGGTGGGGGTGAGTAGGCCGGGGCAAAATAGTAACAGGGGATCTACGAAGGAGGCCTAAGTAGGAATCTCAGGAACTACCAGTGGGCCTGAGGAGGGTAATAAGCTACCTACACCCTACTGCCCTCACAGAAAAGCAGATTTACATCCCCAGAGATCATAAGAGAGGGAGGGGTCCCATCAGTGCCTAAAGGACACTTCAGAGATCTGAGACCTTCTGAAGAAAGAACCACTTACCTGACTCTCTGTCTGAAGAAATGAAAATAAATCTAAACCTGGCAAGAAAAGAAAAATCAAAATCAACCTCCTATCTGACCCCTTTACCACCAAAAGACAAAGCACTTTGGACTGTGGCCCCTTGCAGGAGAAGCAGGAAGTTTTGAGAAGGAACAGGGGTTCTGATGTAGCTCTGGGGCGGGTGTGGCAGTGCAGGGTCCATCTTATGATCCATGTCATACCTTGGATATCGGCTCCCAGTGGGAAGGCAGGTGGGTACTCATGTAGTGGGAGACTGGACAGGAAATCCCCACCCAATGCACCCATGGCAGGGCTCCTTAGCACCGAGGATGGCTGGTGGCCAGACGTCAGGACTCTGTGGGTAGAGAAGAGCTGAGGCAGCCAGCAAACCACAGATGCCCTCACCCAGCTCAGGTCCCCAGGTTCCCTCTCTGTCCCCTCCACATTTCTCTTGCCCCAGGCTTTGTCCAATGATCAGAAAGCATTCCTGACTTCTTCCCCTGTCCCTTTTGCCATAAATTCAGCCTATTTTCTCATACCCTTTGCTTCCAGGTAGGGCTGGGATGGCAGCTGAGGTGACAGAACAGTGCTTCTTGGTAGGGGGCAGATCCTCCTCATCTGATGAGCTTTCTATTGTCAAGTCAATAACTTCGACCTTCTTCTTATTCTCTGATGGATTTCCCTCCTGGACTGGGCTGTACTGGAGGCCTGCGGATATTACGAAGACTATGTCTCAGAGAAGAGGCCATCCAAGATTTAGCTTAGCTGGGGAACAGGGGGTCACTCACCATCCAGCCCATACCCTGGCGGGGGGCAAACCTCAGATGCCTCCTTCTTGGGTTTCATTGGGCACCAGGATCCATCTTCCATGAATTGGATCTCATCACAATCTGAACAGGAACTAAGAATCTCCATAAATAAACTGGGGGAGGAGAGAGATGAAAATTCATGGGGCTGGGAGATGAGCGGAACAGTAGCCAGAGAGTTCTATAACTCGCCTTCCTGTACCTCAGTTTCCTCATCTGTAAAATAAGGACATTATCCATCCTACTGGACCTCTCTGAGTTGTTGGAATCAAGTAACAGAAGGTATGTAAAAGAGCTTTGCAAACTAAGTAACAGGTTTTAAAATAAATACAATCTGAGGCCGGGTGAAGTGGCTCACGCCTGTAATCCCAGCACTTTGGGAGGTAGAGACAGGTGAATCACTTGAGGCTTGGAGTTTAAGACCAGCCTGGCCAACATGGTGAAACCTCATCTCTACTAAAAATACAAAAATTAGCCAGGTGTGGTGGCACATGCCTATAATCCCAGCTACTTGGGAGGCTGAGGCACGAGAATCGCTTGAACCCGGGAGGCAGAGGTTGCAGTGAGGCTAGATCACACCACTGTTCTCCACCTTGGGCAACAGAGCAAGGCTCTGCCTCAAAAAAAAAAAAAAAAAAAAAGGCCGGAGCTGTGGCTCACACCTGTAATCACACTTTCAAAAGTCGAGGCAGGTGGATCACCTGAGGTCAGGAGTTCGAGACCAGCCTGGCCAACATGGTGAAACCTCATCTCTACCAAAAATACAAAATTAGCCGGATGTGGCAGCACATGCCTGTAATCCCAGCTACTTGGGAGGCTGAGGCAGGAGAATTGCTTGAACCCAGAAGGCAGAGGTTGCAGTGAGTCGAGATCATAAGACTGTGCCATACCACTCCAGCCTGGGCCAGGCATGGTAGCTCATGCCTGCAATCCCAGCACTTTGGGAAGCCAAGGTGGGAAGATCACTTGGGGCCAGGAGGTCGAGGCTGCAGTGAGCTATGATTGTGCTACTATACTCCAGTCTGGGCAACAGAACAAGACCCTGTCTCAAAAACAGACAAATAAACAAACACAAAAAAAACAGCCAGGGAGGACTGGGAACAAGAACCATAATGTAGATTCCGAAAAGGGGTTAAGACTAGCAAGATCAAAAGATCAGAACTTCCAGGCCCTCAAAAGAACCTTACTGCAATGCTCAGTGGGAAGTCAGATAGTTGTTACAGATGATACACTATGACAGTTCAGTACCGGCTCTGCCACTTAACAATGTAACCTTGAGCAAGATTCAATCTCTCTCGGCCTCAGTTTCCTCATGTGTAATGATACTACCTATCTCATAGGGTTATTGTTTTCTTTTTTTTTTTTTTTTCTGGGTGAGTGTCACTAGCCAATCATAGGATTATTTCTTTTTTTGAGACAGGGTCTCAATCTGTTGCCCAGGCTGGGGTGCAGTAATGCAGTCATAGCTCACTACAGCCTCAAACTCCTGGGTTCAAACCTTCCTCCCCACTCAGCCTCCTGAGCAGCTAAGACTACAGTCATGAGCTATTATACCATGCCTGGCTAACTTTCTTAATTTTTTATAGAGAGAGGGTCTTACTCTGTTGCCCAGGCTGGTCTCAGACTCCTAGCCTCAAATGATCTTTCCATGTCGGCCTTCCAGTGTTGGAATTACAGATGTGAGCCACTGCACCCAGTCCATAAGCTTATTGTGAGGTTTCAATGAGATAACTCATTAAAAGTACTCAGCAAGATGCCTTGTATATACTAAGTTCTTAATATTGCCCTCCCACTCCACATACACACACATACACACACACACACAAATTGGCAAAAGGGATAGATAAGGTGAGAACTGGGGTTCATGTGAGGAGAAGTAAGCCATATAAATTAAAAACCCTGAAGGAGGTGGTGGCTAAAAAAGAAATATAGACTGGGTATGGTGTCTCACGCCTGTAATCCCAGCACTTTGGGAGGCCGAGGTGGGCGGATCACCTGAGGTCAGGAGTTCAAGACCAGCCTGCCCAACATGGTGAAACCCCGTCTCTACTAAAGATACAAAAATTAGCCAGGCGTGGTGGCACGGACCTGTAATCCCAGCTACTCAGGAGGCTGAGGCAGGAGAATCGCCTGAACCCAGGAGGCGGAGGTTGCAGTGAGCCAAGATTGCACCACTGCACTCCAGCCTGGGCAACAAAGTAAGGCTCCATCTCAAAAAAAAAAAAAGAAAAAGAAAAAGAAATAACAAAGAAAAGAGGGTCCTAGCAGATGTCCTAGGTTAAGAGGAAGCAAAATGGCCCTACCCATCAATGATAAGAGATTCATAGGGAGCCTTCTTGTCACACACAGGACATGTCCACGTAGGCTTCTTCTCATTCATCTGGAGATAAAGGGCAGCATCGAAGCTCTGCAGGTGGGCGCAGGTGAGGGCACGACAAGG